TTAATAGACGTTTGAATTCTATATACCTTTCGGGACGTAGGTAACGTCTCGTTTAAAAGTTATTTTTCTCATTTAGAATAGCGTATAGCGTAATGTGATATCGATTAATTGAAAACGAAGACATCACTCCTTCAGGCCCATGGAATAATCATCGTCTTTTATTATCTATGAACTGTTAATGCGGCATCGAAGTCTGGTCTCGTAAAACACACACCGGGATGTTAGAGTATGGAGAGAAGCAAAGGCCGCGTACACGAATGCATAGTATAATCGTCTTCGTAGTGGTTGTTGTCTTCGTTATGTTATGTATTATATAATATAAGGACATAATTTTCGATAATTATGAATAATATTATTGTATAATTGTACGATAGCAGCGGATGAATATGATGATACGATTATCGAAATGATGATTGTACATATTATAATATGCAATGTATGTATGTATGTAATGTACACGTAGAGAGACAGAGGTACATACGTGTATCATCATTATTATTATTAGTAATAGTAGGTATCGATTATCTAAATTTATTTAAAATGCTGTTAAATATTATGTATGTAATATGTGTATAATATTTAGAACATAAGATATGGACGACGACCATAGGTGATTTGAGTGATGAGAACATAAGTGTGTTGAGATAGTTATGATTTTTTTATATTATTACTATTATATACTATAAATTAAATAATAATATAGTTTATTATTCCGTCGTTGAAACTCTATATTCGATATTCACGATAATCGTGAATAATTATAATATTTCAACGGATACATATGCGGCCCTGAAAAGGGCCTTTTTTCTTTTTTTTCCTCGTTCCCCAACAGTAACGATGACGCGTCGTGATATAAAGCGAGTAAGTAGAGAGAGGGTGAGGGTGAGGGTGAGGGAGAGTGAGAGAGAGTGAGTGGAAGGAAGTGTCGGGCAGTCGGGCGGCGGGTGAGGGGGGCAGAATAATAGGATGATCTGCACACCACACGAGAGAGACACACTGGAATCATCATCATCACCACCACCACCACACTCTTCACTTGCTGCTTTATATCACGTCGTCGTCTTCGTGTGTGTATATCGGAGGATATGGCTGCTGCTGCTGCTTTAACCGCCGAAACCGTAGAGGGTGCGTCCCTGACGCTTAAGGGCGTACACGACGTCCATGGCTGTGACGGTCTTCCTCTTAGCGTGCTCGGTGTACGTTACCGCGTCGCGGATGACGTTCTCGAGGAACACTTTGAGTACGCCTCTGGTCTCTTCGTATATCAGACCGGAGATACGTTTGACGCCTCCTCTTCTTGCCAGACGACGTATGGCCGGTTTGGTGATGCCCTGGATGTTATCACGGAGCACTTTCCTGTGACGCTTGGCTCCACCTTTTCCCAGACCCTTTCCTCCTTTACCGCGACCGGTCATGATGTAGTGTAGTTGATGCTATTGTTTCTTCACACACGATTGTTACCTATCGCGATGCGCGACGCGTGTAGATCTCTGAGTATAATCGGTACGGGGCCACAAAACCGTCCTTTTTATAGCGTGTACCGGGGTGCGGCGGGGGAGGGGGGGGGGTGGCGGACGGGGACCGTACGAGTGTTATGTACGGGGACGGGCCCGGGGTTGGGGGGGAGGAGGGTACTCTGTATCGCCCTCCCCGGACCCCGCGGCGGGCGCATGTCTCTAGAGTAATGTCTCAGTAAAATTTTGCAATAAATATTATTTTCATTAATTATATGTAAATAAAATAAAATACATATCAATAAATCGTTTTCAGAAAGGAACGGACCAGTGAGAGAGGCGAGGCACCTGCAGTATATGTACATATGTATTTCAATGGAAGTTCCTGCCATCTAAGACAATCACGACTTTTTGTTTCCAGAATGCATGTACATATTTATTATTTTATTGTATCCTTTACGATAATAACTTTGTGCGTCTCATCATAGTTTATTGTATACAAGTGTTTTTACTTACATAATCTAAATACTGTAGCTATGTGTTAAATAAATACTGTGTACTCACATACATGCGTAACTTAACATTATTATTTTTATTTAATAATATATTATACGGAATATTATGATTGTTTAGACGTTCTCGTTTGTATGAAACGATAACTTATTAATTCAGATATATATGCGGCCCTGAAAAGGGCCTTTTTTAATTAATATTTGTTATCGTGTTGTTTATTTATTTACGTATGATGATCTTTGAATGTGTATGTACATATCATTATTCAAAAATGCACACCACTATTTAGACACATACACGTATAAAAAGAAACAACACAATTGACACTCATTGACGTTTAGGCACGTTCACCGCGAATCCTTCTTGCTAGCTGGATATCTTTAGGCATAATAGTGACGCGTTTAGCGTGAATAGCGCAAAGATTCGTGTCTTCGAAGAGACCTACGAGATACGCCTCGCTGGCCTCCTGCAGGGCCATCACCGCGGAGCTCTGGAAACGAAGATCGGTCTTGAAATCTTGAGCTATCTCACGCACTAGACGTTGGAAAGGTAGCTTGCGGATGAGAAGTTCCGTGCTCTTCTGGTAGCGACGGATCTCACGAAGTGCCACAGTACCGGGTCTGTAACGATGAGGCTTCTTGACTCCTCCGGTTGCCGGTGCGCTCTTACGGGCCGCCTTCGTTGCTAGCTGTTTACGTGGTGCCTTACCACCGGTTGATTTACGAGCTGTTTGCTTAGTACGAGCCATTATTGAGATAAAAATAACTTTGACACGGTACGCGATGAAACAACGGACTACAGTTGTGTGCACTACAGCGAGGATCGAACTATAATGATAGCCGTAAATAAACCGACCGGCTCTTATATACGTACTCCGTAGAGGCAGTCGGCGGGGATCGTTCGAGGGGTTCGGGTTTATGCTTCTGGTCACTAAATCGACACGGTCGTCTTCGTATTCGCTGTAATAGCATTAGAAAATATAATATGTAGTATATAGTAGTTATAGATATATACATATATGTATATTGTCAGTGACGTTAATATATAGGTATACAACATTTATATTAATTTAAATGTCTATAACGCGTATTCCAAATTGATTTTAATAATTATAAGTATGTATTTTCTGACATAGATAGATATCGCAAGACGATGATATAATATATTTAACTCTACGCCATAACTTAAAAGATTTAATGTAATTATTAAAAAATATTATAATAAAATCCAACGAGATGTTTAGTTCGATGCGTTGAAACTTATATAAGGAATAATAATAAATTATTATTCTTTTCATGTGAATCTTTTAATGGCCCTGAAAAGGGCCTTTGTTATATTATATTTTTCATTTCATTTCCTCTCCTCCTCACTTGGAACTGGTGTACTTCGTGACGGCCTTCGTTCCTTCACTGACGGCGTGTTTGGCCAACTCGCCGGGCAGCAACAATCTCACGGAGGTCTGGACCTCCCTGGACGTTATGGTGGATCTCTTGTTGTAGTGTGCGAGACGTGACGCTTCGGCGGCTATACGTTCGAATATATCGTTCACGAAAGAGTTCATGATCGACATGGCCTTACTTGATATACCGGTGTCGGGATGCACTTGCTTCAGAACCTTGTAGATGTAGATAGCGTAGCTCTCCTTCCTCTTGTGTTTCTTCTTCTTCTTGTCGGATTTGGAGATGTTCTTTTGAGCTTTGCCGGACTTCTTGGCTGCCTTACCGCTGGTTTTAGGCGGCATGTTTGATTATAATATGATATATTATTATAACAACGATTGACTTCAACGGTGCTTTCGGTACGGAGTACTGTAAGCTGTTCTGTAAAAAAATATCCAACCCAGGGTCTAGTGTGTATCATTATGCTCAAGTATGTAGTTACGTATCGAGCACGCACGTCCACACCGGGGACCGACCAATAGGAAGCGTCGGTTCCGATCGTGGGGTCCGATGTGTTTTCCGTCTGCGGGGGGGGGGGGGGGGGGGGGGGGTGGTGGCGGAGGGGGGTTTCGGTTTGAAAATAATAATCATAACATAATAATCATAAAATAAGAGTATGTAAAAAACAGTCTATTAAATAAAGAGTATGTACTTAATAATAACAATAGAAGAGTCATAAAAATTATGATGTCAGTGTTTCCTATTATTATTATTTTATTACCTGTACTTAACACTAATTACCGTTCGGTCATTAAATGCTTTGTGTTATTTTTTGTTTATTTTGAAAACTAATAATAAATAATAGCATTATGAGATTATCTATCGACTTTGAAAAGTAGATTACTATCAGTTATTTAATTTATTATTATCATGATATTGCTTTTAAAAGAAATTGTATAATATGTAATTAATTATATACTTAGGTAGTTTCATATACATACGTTAAATAATAATACATAATAATATTACTTATTATAATTGACGTCTCGTATCGATGGAACTGTTCGTATATTATATAAAATATATACGTTAAACAACGATTTATTTTGTGGCCCTGAAAAGGGCCTTTTAAATAAACATCAATTGGATGTATGACTATGTATACATGCATACAAACAAACATCACATCAACCATTACATATTATATACCCATTACATTAGTATATATGTAGACGGAGACGACGATGATGATGATGATGATTATGGTGGTGGTGGTGGTGGTGGTGCGGTCCGATGATCATCAATGATAATCCTTTAGGCCTTCTTCTCCGTCTTCTTGGGCAATAATACGGCCTGGATGTTTAGCGCGCTCTTTAAGATGTCTAGGTATGATTCTGGTCTTCTTGTTGTCTCTGGCAGCGTTACCGGCCAATTCGAGTACTTCAGCAGCAAAGATATTCCATAACGGCAGCGAGATAAACGGGAGCACCGGCCCGGCACCGACGCGCTCCGCGTAGTTTCCTTTCCTCAGCAATCTGTGTATACGACCCGACGGGGAACTGTAGACCTGCACGGTTAGAACGAGACTTCGGTAGTACACCACCCTGAGCTATGGTCACACCGGATAGAAGCTTGTTCAACTCTTCGTCGTTCCTTATGGCCAGCTGAAGATGTCTAGGTATGATTCTGGTCTTCTTGTTGTCTCTGGCAGCGTTACCGGCCAATTCGAGAGTACTTCAGCAGCAAGATATTCCATAACGGCAGCGAGATAAACGGGAGCACCGGCACCGACGCGCTCCGCGTAGTTTCCTTTCCTCAGCAATCTGTGTATACGACCGACGGGGAACTGTAGACCTGCACGGTTAGAACGAGACTTCGCCTTTCCCTTAACTTTACCACCTTTACCACGTCCAGACATTGTTGCGAATATATTAACCTTTTGATATAATAACGTAACACACGCGACTGGCAGAGAGTAATTTAAAAAAACCGTAGTTTTTTTTTTTTTTTTTTTTTTTTTGTAATGTGTATTGCTGTTAGCCCTGCGGCTTTGACAGCGTCACCGGAAGAGTGGGCCGGTACTGGGACCGGCCCGTTAAAAGGGGCCTGAAGGACCCCAGGGAACGTACGTTCTAAGGGCGCCTGCTAGTGTGAGGCTCGGACCACGAACTTAGGACGTCGTGGATTTTAGGGGGGGTTTGCCAGCGGCGGCCTCCGACGCCCTCTTGCGAGAGACGTGCGGAAGCGGGGACCTCGCTCTCGCCGGCGAGAGCGGTGGGTGTGTGTGGTGATTGTTTGTGTAGTTTCCCTACTACTATCGGACGACGCGGTGGTCCTATTCCTTATAGTGATTTCATCGTCCGGATCGATGAGAATATGTTTAGGGCGCCTCCGACAGCCCTTATGGAATTGGTTTGGGGTGTATCTGACGACTTCTTTCACCAGAGGGTTGGGATGAGTTTTGGCTCTTTCAAAGTACCTCTCGGAGAGTACTTTGAAGTGTTGCCGAATAGTGGGGAGATCGAGGTCTCTATGAAGATCTGCGTTACGCATGTACCACGGGGCACCCGTGATCGTGCGCAAGAAGCGGTTTTGTAGGGTCTGAAATGGTTTGAGATTACGGTGGGCGAATGCTACGCTACCGTAAGCCATAATTGGTCTTATGCAAGATTTGTATAACGTCATCTTATTTCTAAGTGACATTTTACTCCTCACGCATAGAAGGGGGTAGAGACGGCCGAGAACATAGGCGGCTCGGTTCCTAGCTTTTCTGATGTGGGGGCCGAAGGACATTGCATTGTCAAGCGTTACACCCAAATATTTGGTTACCTTCCGCCAGGGGATAGGTGTATCGAAAATAGATATTGGAGCCGGGATATCGATGTAACGACCCCGTTGGAAGTACACTGCTGTGCTCTTCTCGGGGTTGAGGTCTATCCTCCATTTCCGAAACCAGACGCCTAGGGCGGTGGCAGCGGTCTGGAGGCGCCTGCGGATTACATCGTTATCCCGGGTTCCAGAAGTATAAATTGCGGTGTCATCCGCGAAAAGGGCTAGGTAAGTGCCCCTTGGAGGCCTGGGTATGTCGCTGGTGAAAATGGAGTAGAGCGTAGGGGATAGCACTGATCCTTGAGGGACACCGGCTCTGATAGGTCGTAGAGACGAGAGCTCCCCTTCCACTCGGTAGCGGAAGGAACGATTCGACAGGTAGTCTCGTATGATGAGTACGAGCCTATCTGACACTTTGAATTGGTACAACTTGTATACCAAGCCATCGTGCCAGACTCTGTCGAATGCCTTCGCCACGTCGAAGAAGAGGGCTCCGCTCTTGTTCCTTTTACGAGAGTTCAAATTGAGAGAAATGTGCTCTGTTAATCGTTGCACCAATTGGGGACAGGAGTGACGGGCTCTGAAGCCGAACTGCTCATTGGGGATTATTTCAAGTCGTTCTATCTCCGCTTTGAGGCGGGACAGAACGATCCTTTCATAGATTTTTCCTAAGTTGCTTAGGAGACTGATGGGGCGGTAACTGCTTGGGAGGTTGCTGGGTTTGCGCGGTTTAGGTATACCTATGACAGTGGCCTCTTTCCATTGGTCCGGAAATGAGCATCCGGTCAATAGAGCGTTGAACATGCATACCAGTAGGTAAATGAGGCGGGGAGGGAGGAGCTTTAAGACTTTATTGGAAATTTTATCGGGGCCAGGGGACTTCTTAACGTTAAGTCCCTTAATTATAGATGACACTTCTTCAGTGTCGGTCGGTTTGAGTGGGGGGTCCTCTGGTGGCAGAAGTAACCTATCTCGTACGACCTGCTCCACATGTCGGATGTGGGCAGGATTTGTCGGTTGCCTACTTAAGCTACACTGGCTCTCCAAGCTGTCTGCCAAGCATTCCGCTTTGTCTCGGTCGTCAAACGCGGGAATGGGGTTGTCTGGTCGAACAAGGGGAGGCATCACCGAGACAGAATCCCCCTTCATCACTCTTTGCAGGGACCAGAAGGCCTGATGCGAAGGAGCGATGGAGGAGAGCTTCCTGTCCCAGTTTTCGTCTCGGAGGTCGGCGAAGGCTTGCCTCACCTGCCTCGCGAGTCGACGAAGCCTTCTCTTGTTACTTATCGTGGGGGCCGCGTCGTGAGCTCTGTTCGCGGCGTTCTTCTCATTGATAAGGTCTCGAAGATCCAGAGGGATTTCTCGTCGGCCGTTATGGCTGTCTAAGATCTCCCTCGTACATCCCTCGACCCTGTCGCTGATGAAGCTCCCTAATCCTACGCAAGCTACTTGCGCATCCTCGACCGAGGAGATGGAGTTAGGGATTTGGTCGAGGTGCGGAGAATCTAACGACTGGAGTCGCTCGGAAAGCTGTTTCCAGTCGATGATTCTCTTAGTCTGGGGTGCCGCTTCGGGGGGAGGTCCTAGCTGGATAAGGACAGGTCGATGGTCAGAGTCTAGCTCGGATAGTGTCTCAATAGAGCGCAACTGTAGAGTTACGCCCTTCAAGAGCGCTATGTCGAGTATGTTTGGTCTGTGAGTCGGTTCGAGTGGGTAGCGGGTCGGTGTCAAGGGGGCTAATATTGTGAAGTCAAAATCTGGTCTGTAGGTCAGTCGGTTGAGTATAAGACCGCTTCTATTACTTCTGGACCCTGAGGGATTCCAGCTTGGGTGCTTAGCATTGAAATCGCCTGCCAGAAGGGTGGCGTTTCCCAATGAGAGTAAAGTTTTTATGTCGTTCTCGTCGATAGTGAGATTGCTGGGGCGATAAACTGAGGCAAGTATGACGGGCTGATGGCCCGTCATGCTTACCTGGCATATAGAGACTTCTAGACTATTTAAGGGTGGGGGGTCTAGGGGAACACAGTGGAGGGACCGCCTAAAATAAATGACAGTACCTCCCCCCGTGGAAGAGGTCCTGTCATTTCTTACCATATTATAATTGGCTATTTTAGGATCCCTCATACTGGGCTTGAGGAGGGATTCTTGGACCAGGAGTATGTCAACGTGGTGTTTGACTACGAAGTCGCGCACCTGTTGAATTTGACGAGCGAGACCGTAAGCGTTGAATGTGACGACACTTAGGGAGCGGGGTTTTATTCTACACCGCGTCGAAGCCATTTATGTTGATCTTGTGATGTTATAGATAGCGTTAATCATGACTGCGTGCTCTAAAAACGCGTCTAGACGAGCTTTGTCGTCATTTTCACAAGCCTTGAGCTTGTTCGCAAATATGAGTAATTCGGGCGGATCGAACGCCCCGAAGTACTTGGTGATTGAAGGCAGGGGGTTGGAGACCCCGCTGTCTTGCGCGGTTGGAGGTACGGGCGCAGCCGGCGACGTGGCGACAGTTGTTCCGGCGGGTTTACTCCTAAACCAGGCATTGACCGTCGGTGCCTGGGGGGCCTGAGGGGCCTTATGTGTTTTAGGGGCCTGAGGGGCCTGAGGGGCCTGAGGGGCCTGAGTGGCAGGAGCTTGAGGAGCTCTTTGGTGGCGAGCGGATTTTTTCCCTCCTCGCTTTGCCCTGCGCGGGGCTTTCGGACACCCGCGGTAGTTCGCTGGGTGGCCCGATTGCTGGCACAGGACACAGCTCGGAGGGATGTCCTCGGAGGGAGTTTTCCTTTCGCAATCGACCGTCGCGTGGTCGCCTAGGCATTTCACGCATCTCGGCCGTGCGTAACAAAACCTAGCTGAATGGCCGTAACATTGGCAGCGATGGCACTGCCCAGGGATGCCGCGGCCGCGGGGGAGCTCTACCTGTAATCCGGACAGGTAGCAGACCGTGCTTATGTTGAAGATGGCTTTAGCCTCTTTGGTGTTGTCCAAGTGGACAAGCACCATGTTAAAGGGTTTTTTATTGGTCGGGCGGTACATCCGGTGTACTGCCTGGACCGGGAAGTCTTGTGACTTAAGGTCACTTAAAATGGACTCTGTTGGGATCTCACACGGCATCCCGCGGATCACAACCGTAAGGCGGCGCTCCTCCTCTAATGCGTAAGTGTGGTATCCAATACCACGCTCCCGCAGAAGGGCTGTCATCCTACGGTGGTCATCCGCTGAGGACGTCTGTATTTTAATCCCGTCTTTAGTCGGCCGGGCTGACGTGAAATGAATTCGGAGGTCTATGAATAGTTGTGACATATGGTCCCACTTATCTTTGTCTTTTAGGTAAAGCGGCGGAGGCGCCTTATCCCGCGGTGGTGCGTCGGGAGACGCGGACGGTGAGTTGACCGCGGGTTTGGGCCGCTTCGCGACGGGCGCGGCGGGAGAGGGTGGGTTTTGTGTCCCTGAGGGGGACGAGGGGCGAGAGTTAGCGGCGGCGGCAGCGGGGGCGTTCGCGGCGTTTGAGGGGGATTGGGGGGCGGAGGTGGACGGCGTTTTAGAGGAACGCTTCCTCTTTTTCTTGGAGACGACGGTTGTAAATCCGTCGTCGGCTTCGCTCTCGGAGCTAGGCCGGGAACCAGACTCCGAGGCCGAGGCCGAAGAACACTCCATGTGGGAGTTGGGGGTGGGGACCAGGGACTCAGATATGAATCTGAGAACTAACTCGGGGGCCATCTTCCGCGCGAAGGCGGTGAAGGTGTGCGGGTCTAGGTTGGGCATGGTGACTTATTTTAAGTGGGAATTCTACCAATCCTCCCTGCCAGGCGGCAGGGAGATGAGTACCTAGTTGTGTCCTACGGACTCGCCTGGTGAGGGCAAGGTGTGTGCCTACAACCTTACCTCGGGTGTGGGTACGCGGCCCTAAAGCGTCTGGCAATACGCGGCGCGCACTGGAACGGCACTACACTACACTAACACTGCACTGTAGTCTTTGCACTCGAACCACACGGCACGTGGAACAAGTGCAGGCGACGTGGCCCGGGGAGCGGACGTGCGTACACAATCCGCTGAACTCGGAGAGTGGACGTGCTAGGCACAATCCACTGACTCGGAGAGTGGACGTGCTAGGCAACAGTCCACTGACACGGGGAGCGGACGCAGCTCAGGGAGCGCGGTCCGCTGCAGGACAACGTCCGAACGCTGAGAGCGCTCGGACGGTACTGAGACGAGGGGGTCGCCGCGTCGCTGTACAGCGTGATGCGGCGAAAGGGACCGAGGTGGTCCGAGACAGTGAGTCGCTTTAATAAAAGCGACTGCTCCAGTCGAAGGTCGATGGCTGTCCAAAAACCGTAGCGCGGCTCTTTACTATATATACGTCTACACGTATCGGTGGGGTGGGGATATAGACGAATGACGAGCTAAAGTAGACGCGGAGAGAAGCGGGAGGGTTTTCCAATCAGTGTTGACATTTTTTTTAGAGGATCGTACTATAGACTAAAAAAAATAATAGTATTTTGTCTTGAAATTCAATGAAATAATCGTACGCGATGAAATTTCAATAAACTGCGTAAGTATATCAAATAAAAACGGAATTTATCAATTCATATGGTGTAATTAAGATATTCATTAATTACATATATTTTGAAAACAGACAAAAAAAAAAAAAATGAATTGCTTTAGTCAATATCTGAATTATTAGGCACAGCAGATGCGGGAAAAGCATTATATATATATATATATATATATATATATATATATATATATATATATATATATATATATATATATATATATATATTGTTCATACTTAAATTTATATACGATATCCTTTTTCTTTAATATTATGTTGTGCAGCTAATAAATTCTTATTTACCGTTTCTTGAACACAGTTTAGTTTTACATATTCCTTATAGTTATAGTACTAAAGTATAGTTTTATACATTCCTTATAGTTTTATTGAAGATTTCGATTACTCGATCGTAAATGGTACAAGAGTCATAAAGGTTTCCAAAAGTGAGTTAAAAGAAAATAATTGTCACCAGTGTTACATTATTATGTTTTATATGGTGTTTTTCATTATTATTATTATCAAAATTATGTACTGCTATGTACAATGTAACTAATATTTTCTATAATACTAACAACATAATATAATATCTTTATTTATTTATAACAAGAATGTTTAATATGTCTAATACTATGTATTCAGTATTGTTATTCTTCTTCTACCTGGCAATTTTCCAGCTGTAGCCAGGGTCTGTTTTACATGTTATAAGAATAATTTGGCTATTTGTTTATATGTATGACCGGCCGCCTGCCTGATATCAACAACCCTCTTTGGGAATCAACATTAATCAGTGAGTGATGTCTAAATACTCTAAGAAAGTACATAATATATAACTTGGAAAAATCACATTGGTCATTCTTGCCAGGGTCGAACCCGCGCCCTCATGCATGAGAGGCGGGCGGCCTTTTAACCAATTGGCCACCACTGACTTTGTTATTATCGTATTATAATATTATTACTGAATTGTTCGCTATTTTCGTGAATGTTATCTTGTATTCGATTATTATTTATATATTTTATTATTATTATTATTATATTATTATAGGAGACGATCTTTGTCATTCGGAAAACGAGAACACAACGTTGTGTCGAAATCTAAGTTTCCGACATGATTGGGTTCATAATGAAATATATGTTAGCCCTGAAAAGGGCTTTTTATATATTATGTATTTTTTTTTTCTTTTTCTTTCGTATCTGCGACGCGTGCCTGTAAGATGAACGTCACTCTCGTAGATTCCTCGAACGTTGAAGAGTACGGGGGGACGCCGAGAGACATTCCGATGATCTAGAATCTCTTATCTATAATGAACTTGTATCATCGTAAGTCTACAACCCCCGAGCGCGCTCACCACTCACGGTGCCGATGCTGCCGCCGTCGCGATAGATAAAGCAATACAAAAATTATTACTTTTTCGCTGCTGCTGCTGCTTTCTTAGCTGCGGGTTTCGATTTCGGGGTACCGGCGGATGCTTTCTTCGGTTTCGGGGCTTTAGGTTTCTTAGTGGGAGGTTTGGCGCTCTTCTTGGCCTTGGATGCTGCACCTTTCGCCTTAGAAGCTGTCGCGGAGGATGCGGCAGAGGCGTTCGCGGCTGCGGAACCTTTCTTAGCGGCGGCCGGCTTCTTTTTGGCAGCTGCTGCTGCGGCTGCGGCCGCTTTCTTATCCCTGGCCGCTGCCGCCGATGCTTTAGCTTTGGACGGCGAAGATGCAGCCGACGAAGCTACGGAACCGCCTTTCTTACCTCCCTTCGCTGCCACCGCCGATGCCGTTGCGGCGGCTTTCTTAGATTTAACGGATGCCGACGAAGCTGCAGCCCTACCGGTTCCGGCGGAACCACCACTTGCCTTACCACCACCACCACCACCACCACCCGACGACGGTTTCTTGGCTGCTGATGATTTAGATTCCAATTTGAATGAACCGGAAGCACCCTTCCCCTTGGTCTGTATCAGGGCACCGGACTCGACGGCGCTCTTGAGATATTTTCTTATGAACGGTGCCAATTTCTCCGTATCGACCTTATATTGAGCGGCGATGTATTTCTTGATAGCCTGTAACGATGAACCGCTGCGCTCCTTCAACTCTTTGATGGCGTTGTTTACCATTTCAGCTGTCTTGGGATGAGTAGGTTTAGCCTTAGGTTTCTTCGAGCCGGCCGCAGCGGCGGCGGCGGCCGCTGACGCTTTCGGTTTCTTCGCAGGCGTAGCCGGAGCCGGTGTTTCAGATGCAACTGCGGTATCTGCCATTTTTTTAATGTTTTTTATTTTTTTTTATTTTTATTATTCTTCTCAGCAGGTCACAACACCACACAGACACACAGACACAGTTTATAAACAAATATAACTATGATGATAGCCGGAGATGTCGCTAGTAGTTATTTAACAATCGGGTATGCCGTAACGAGAACCGTGTTGTCGCTAAACATTTTCACGTACGAACACTTCTAACTTTTCACTAACATCCATCCGTTTTATATGTTTTATTTAATATAATATATATGTTTATATAAATTTAAAGATGCAATATGTTTAATCTTAAAACTAACTTTCGTAGTGAACAATAAATAACTTTATAAACGTAGTTAGCATAGATTAATAGACGTTTGAATTCTATATACCTTTCGGGACGTAGGTAACGTCTCGTTTAAAAGTTATTTTTCTCATTTAGAATAGCGTATAGCGTAATGTGATATCGATTAATTGAAAACGAAGACATCACTCCTTCAGGCCCATGGAATAATCATCGTCTTTTATTATCTATGAACTGTTAATGCGGCATCGAAGTCTGGTCTCGTAAAACACACACCGGGATGTTAGAGTATGGAGAGAAGCAAAGGCCGCGTACACGAATGCATAGTATAATCGTCTTCGTAGTGGTTGTTGTCTTCGTTATGTTATGTATTATATAATATAAGGACATAATTTTCGATAATTATGAATAATATTATTGTATAATTGTACGATAGCAGCGGATGAATATGATGATACGATTATCGAAATGATGATTGTACATATTATAATATGCAATGTATGTATGTATGTAATGTACACGTAGAGAGACAGAGGTACATACGTGTATCATCATTATTATTATTAGTAATAGTAGGTATCGATTATCTAAATTTATTTAAAATGCTGTTAAATATTATGTATGTAATATGTGTATAATATTTAGAACATAAGATATGGACGACGACCATAGGTGATTTGAGTGATGAGAACATAAGTGTGTTGAGATAGTTATGATTTTTTTATATTATTACTATTATATACTATAAATTAAATAATAATATAGTTTATTATTCCGTCGTTGAAACTCTATATTCGATATTCACGATAATCGTGAATAATTATAATATTTCAACGGATACATATGCGGCCCTGAAAAGGGCCTTTTTTCTTTTTTTTTCCTCGTTCCCCAACAGTAACGATGACGCGTCGTGATATAAAGCGAGTAAGTAGAGAGAGGGTGAGGGTGAGGGTGAGGGAGAGTGAGAGAGAGTGAGTGGAAGGAAGTGTCGGGCAGTCGGGCGGCGGGTGAGGGGGGCAGAATAATAGGATGATCTGCACACCACACGAGAGAGACACACTGGAATCATCATCATCACCACCACCACCACACTCTTCACTTGCTGCTTTATATCACGTCGTCGTCTTCGTGTGTGTATATCGGAGGATATGGCTGCTGCTGCTGCTTTAACCGCCGAAACCGTAGAGGGTGCGTCCCTGACGCTTAAGGGCGTACACGACGTCCATGGCTGTGACGGTCTTCCTCTTAGCGTGCTCGGTGTACGTTACCGCGTCGCGGATGACGTTCTCGAGGAACACTTTGAGTACGCCTCTGGTCTCTTCGTATATCAGACCGGAGATACGTTTGACGCCTCCTCTTCTTGCCAGACGACGTATGGCCGGTTTGGTGATGCCCTGGATGTTATCACGGAGCACTTTCCTGTGACGCTTGGCTCCACCTTTTCCCAGACCCTTTCCTCCTTTACCGCGACCGGTCATGATGTAGTGTAGTTGATGCTATTGTTTCTTCACACACGATTGTTACCTATCGCGATGCGCGACGCGTGTAGATCTCTGAGTATAATCGGTACGGGGCCACAAAACCGTCCTTTTTATAGCGTGTACCGGGGTGCGGCGGGGGAGGGGGGGGGCGGCGGACGGGGACCGTACGAGTGTTATGTACGGGGACGGGCCCGGGGTTGGGGGG